TATAAATTATACACACTCCAGTACACAATGTAGCACACATACACATTCACTTATGCCAACAGACACACATACACAGTCTAGCAAAATACATCCCAATACATACTCCAATGAGCATATACGCTCTAATATGCACCAACACACACACACACACACACACACACACACACACACACACACATACTTTACCAACGTTGATGTCACAAACAGTGCAATCTGCCCAGTGCATCTAATGAAGACTTTCCTAAGGACTTACCAGTTTCTTAAGCACAGGCAAGGATTTGCATGTTCTGCACAGGAATTTCTTACAGGACAGTTCTGAAGATGTCAGAAAACACAGTGCAGGAGCATTGCACATTTACCTCCTCTACTGAGATGATTTTAATTAAAATGAATGGCTTAAACATGTTTAATTATATATAATATGTTATATATATGTATAACACACACATCTATCTATCTCTCTCTCTCTCTCTATATATATATATAGGTATATATATAGGTATATATATATATATATATAGAGAGAGAGAGAGAGAGAGAGTGTATCTTATACCTGGGAGACAAAGACAATGTAAGCTAAAAACCGAAACCTAAAAAAAGATGGTAAGTATAATTACTTCCATGGATAGGCAGAAGCAGGCAGGTCTCTGTGAGTTTGAGGCCAGCCTGGTCTATGAAGCAAGTTCCAACATAGCTAGTGCTACAGAGAGAAGCCCTTTCTTGAAAAAAACCCCAATAAATTATATCTTCTTTTAAACATAAAATAATAATATTCTTACGGATTAATTTACACAAGGATTCTTCTTTTATCTGAAAATCTTATAGCCCATGTGTCATCTTAAAAAATTACTTAATTAATATGTGTCCTGCAGTATTTTCCACTCTGTGTTAAATGTGAGGAAACTGTTGAGCAAGAGTAGGGTAAGAACACAGACATTGTCACCATGTTTCATAGTTTTATTGAATTTCTCAGTTTGAATTGTCTATGATAAGTATAATTCTGATTACCTCAATTATAAAGTTCTGTTGTTACTATAAATAGCAGATACAAGGTTGGCTGCCATGCCTTGGACACACCACACACACACACACACACACACACACACGCACGCACACACGCACACACATATGCACTCAAACATAGAAACACGGGAGATTCTGCAGCCTCCTACAGTCAAACAATACTGTGCTTTTACGGGAAGTATACCTCTTTTTTATTACAAAGACAGTTATATGTAATCATTCCAAATTTTGTCGAGCTATCACTGATGCCGATAAACCTGAGAAGGCTCAAAGCATCAAATAACACTGTTTCATACCACTCCAGAGCACTGCTAACCACAAAGAAATCTGCTTCCATCATCTACATGAAAATCACAGATATTATACAAATAAAATTTTCTGGCAAAATCGCTAAGACAACATATAACTCAAATGCACAAAATTTGATCTGTGATGTAAGTTCACCTTCATTTAAAAAAAAAGTGACACAATTTAGCAGCCAAACGACACAGTTATCACTAGAAATGTTGGCACTGAAGTTGCCCGAGTGCCTGAGGAAAAGATGAAAGCCAGTTGCAACGCTGAACTTGTTGGTAGTGTTAGGTAAAAACCCTGCCTTAAAGATGTTAAGATTGTACTGTGTTGCCTTAAGAAAAAGTACAATGCAAAGCTTCAAGAGCTAGCAAAAGACTATCAGCCACATTTTCTCTTGCTGTTTCACTAAATGTGTGTTGAAATTCTCACATTATGTCTATAATGCCCACTAGGCTTCTAAATCATCCATTTTGAATAGGAGACAAGTCTTATTTAGCCCGTGGCAGTGGAAATATTTAGGGCATATTCTAAACATTCTGAAAAGACAACACAAACTTTCTATAATACAAATATATATATAAATACACACACACACACATATATATAGTACACAATACAAAACCTATCTAAAATATCCTACACTCGTTATGAATCTTATGATAGTCTAACACCAAGTTGTGTCTGTAGAACAAAAATCCTAAATGAAAGGAAAGCATGCAAACCCAAATCCAGGGAAAATTAAACACATAATAAAACAGATCTTTCTTTTAGATTCAAATACAAACTAGTCTTAAATGTTCAATACTAACATCTGAAAAAGTCTTAAATATAATTGCCATTTTATCTAGCATTATATATTACCATAAAATATGCCAGTGTGACATTTGAATATTATACATTGCAATAAATAGAATTTACATCAGTATATTGTACCTTCAAAGAAGTTTGACAGTCTGTACAGCTGACAGCCCATGAGCTTCATCAATAAATACTATTACAGTAATTACATTCAATTGGGAAAACAAAATCTTTGATACATACTTACTAGTACCACATCTTCTAAGTTCTGTTACTAGTTGAATTCTAGCTGTTGCTAAGTACTGGTATCTGTTATATCAAAAGGTGGTGTAGTGTCCTGGCTGAGTAAGTAGAGATTTTCAGGTTTCGACCTGTCCATACAGCAGTTGGTGAACACAAAGAATTTTATCCAAGGACTAGATGGAAGAGTCCTAGGAAGCCCAGAAACAGATTCCAAACAGCTCTCATTGTCTGCTTTTCAAAATTTACCGCAGCACCCATGGTGTCAACAATGAATGTACTGTCACCTTTGCTGCTCATGCAAAATGGGATTCAAGTGTCAAGATTCCAGCAAATTCTCAGTAGCCACATCACGGTTTTAATTTGGAATTCTCTCTGTGTGCTACGTTTCTTCTTATTTTATCATGTTAGTGCAATATAAGTTCAAAGAGCAATTTGTAAGGAATAACAACAAAACTGACAACATTCACAAAGCCTTGAACTTGGAAACACATTAGCAGTGTGAAATTTAGTGACTTGCTAAACTGTATAATTTTTGGTGTCATTCACCCAAGGGTCAACAGATCTGTCTTTACTATAAACATGCTTACTCATATCAGGTGTCACAAATTGGTCTTTTGGCTAATAACGTGTTGCTTCCTCCTGACCTGTGCATGCACAGGTCATCTCAGGGACTTCTCTTGACTTGGAAGAACTTGGCACAGTCAGTGTTATTATATTAAAGGATTAAGCAAGCTAAGGAAGAAGGTGAGGCTGGGGCTGTATCTCAGTGGCTGGACTCTTGCCTAGTATCCATTAAGCCCTGGGGTCAATCCCCAGAAAGAGGAACATGGCAAAGTGTAAAGAACCTTGGTCCCCTCACCAAAACACATCCCCAAAGAATGGTTTATGAAAGTTGAAACAGTGCATTTAATATATATCCAAGATCAGGCTGGCATCATGAGATTCAAACACAGAAAACTGTATTAAACGATGAGGAAATTAATAGAGACATATGGATCACTGAGCTGCGCGTTTCTGAAATTTCCATTTGGATTAGTTTAACAACATTACTTTTGAGCCACTGAACATTTCTGAAGTGTCAATATAATGAGGCTGTATTTTAGATTTCTGTCTGGAGGATTCTGAAACAGAAAATGCTGCATGAATCTTAACACCTGGGAACTCTGCAAATCTCAAAAGTGGGAGACACCTAACGTGTCTTCTTCAGTTGGCTTTTATGGCAAGACTGAATGTGTAAAAGAGCCACTGACAGATAGGAAGGCTGGATGCAGCTCTTCTTCATGGACCTGAGTAACATGACACTTGGAAAATGGAAGCACTCCAAAGAGCTCTCAGATCCCCGGTCACTCGTGTGTCTAAAACTGACATCAACCCCTGAATTTTATGTCATTATATCCTACTGGGCCACAAAGGTTCTTTTTTTCGTCTTAGGGAGTACTTTCAAAGCACTTTCTAGCGTCATTTATAACCTCAGAAGATAGCTGGTAAAGACCAGCTTTCACAGCTAACGTTCTTCGGACAGCAGGTTATTAATTTGTGATTATTTCCTCATTATTTTAATTACATGAAGTTTGATGATACCAAGGACTACAGATGTAGCAATTCGTTATTCATTGAAAATTCTTTTCAAACTTCAATACCTCTTTACAAATACTTCACTGCTGTTAGCAGACAAAAGTATCAAACACTGGCTATCATCCCGTAACTACCAAGGGCTTGATGTACACTTTCAATTGCCTTCTTCTCAGTTTTACGGTGCCTCGGTTACTTACAAGTCAATTTCCTTTATTTTCTCTCTGCAAATGCTTTTCATTTTAAGAGTCATTAAGAGATTACAATTTGTTAAAAGATGGCAGCTTCCCATGCTCTTGGCATACCTATGACTTCTTCACATTCATATTTTAGTAGGCATTTCATGTTTTCAAGAACTTTGAAGAATCAGAAAGAACCTTCCCATTATTATTTTAGTTTTGTGTCCTCCTTCTAGAACTCTTCTCCCCACCCCCAGCCGCATTGTGAATGTCTGTCCACCACAGTCCTCTCAAACACTAACAGCCCTGCCCTATAGCCCTCAATCTAACATTCTGTTGCTTCAGCCAACCAGCCTTTAGTCTGAAATTTAACTGTGATTTCTCAAAATTGTTTTCACAGATGTGGGTGAGTACTTCTCTTGGAACACAGAGTCCAAAGACACTGCACAGCAGTGGAGCAAGGGGGAGCTTTTCTATCCCAGGAAGCCTAACAGTCCACAATATTTATAAGAAAAACACATGCACTTCAATTATTTTGAATGTATTTTGCCAATAATATAATATCCGCATCCTCCCACCACCAAACATTAAACAAGCCATGTGCAGGAGCCAGCCTTCCAGAAATGACTGGAAATACGCATTTTCCACACATAAAAGTCCATTGATTTTATTTTCCTATTCAATTCCCCAAAGACATGATCAGCCACCATCTATGCTTCTGAGGAACTGAAGGACACGGATCGCAGGCAGCTGCTCGTTACTTAATGGACTGACCGGTATTGCATTCGACTAGGCCAAGCAGTTTTTGGAAGCATAGACGTTCGTTTGTTTATACCATGAGATACACAGAGCAACAGAGGCTGGACAAATCACAAACTCCAATTCCAGGCGGCCGGTTTTCTGGGAGAAACTTTTAATAACAAAAGTGCCCTGCTACACATGCACACACTTCAATAATAGCCGCGTCTGTGAGTTTCAAAGGGAGAAGAGGGCGTGTTTATCTGGGTGGCACTGCTCGATTACACAGACTCCTAGTGAGTAAGAAAGGAGCTTACAGGAAAGGAAGATAAACATGAACGTGCAATAAACCGGTGCTTCCTTTTTTTCCCCCCCAACTCACTACTGTCTGGTCTGGAGTACTCTCTCTAGCATCACTAGGAACTTAAGAACAAAAGGTAGTTGGTTCTGTGAGCATCCTACCATGTTACAAAAGTGAGGTGTTTGGGTCTGGTGCCTTCACAAGCTGGTGTCTCCATTCTGCTTGAACTCAGATAAAATATTGAGAGTCATTTCTTCACTCTTGGATTGTAAATTGGCCTCACTTCTCCTGGAAGCTTTCCTGGTGGCTCGGGACAATCTCCTCCTGAAAGTGTCTCCAGCCAAGAAATAAAGAATGGGATCCACACAGCTGTTGAGACTCGCCAGACCTCGTGTCACCTGGTAGGTGGCATAAACCCTGTCATTGAACGCACACATTTCCGGGGTCTGGAAATCCAGCCGTGCCCGCAGATTCATGGTTTTCATCACGTGGAAAGGGATGTAAGACACAGCAAACACCGTCAGGACAATTATGACCAGGTAAATGGATTTCCTCCTGAGAGGAGAGTTGTCCAGGTCCTTGTAAATCAGAGCTCTAACAATTAATCCATAGCAGCCCAAGATCAGCACCAAGGGGATGCAGAACATGGCCACGGTTGTGCACATGCTGTAGATGAAATAACTTCGCAGGTAGTCATCGGCCGTGGTGTCATAGCAGGTGATGGTTTTGTTTTTCCGCATCCCCGTGCCAGAGTAGAAGAGAATGGGGGAGATAGCCACCACCACAATGAGCCACACCAGCACGCTGACATAAATGGCATTCTTCTTCTTGAGCCTGCCCAGGGATTTGAGCGGGTACACCACGCCGCTGTACCTGTGTGCGCTGATGCAGGTGAGGAACAAGATGCTGCCATAGAGGTTTACGTGGAAGATGAATCTCTGCAGCTTGCACATAGCATCCCCGAAGATCCAGTCAGTCTTGTTGAAGTAGTAGAAGATGAGAGCTGGCAGGGTGAGCACGTACAAAAAGTCAGCCAGAGCCAAGTTGAACATGTACACGGAGATGCCGCTCCAAGGTTTCATGTGGAAAACGAACATCCAGATAGCCACGCTGTTGCCCAGGAAGCCTATGATGAAAACTAAGATGTAGACCACCGGCAGGTAGTAGAATTGGAAGCCGGTCTTGGTCAGGGCACATCTGAATGAAGAGGCAACTGCTGCCGTGGAAGCTACTGTACTGTTTCCCCAAGGCGAGCCCAGGCCAGCCAGGAAGGCTGTGTCCGTCCCGTTGGGGACAGCTGGCCAAGGGACCTCGGTCATCCTCTGCTCTCCAACTCAGGCAGCAACTCGGAGGGGCAGACCGCAGCGAGCGGGCGGCAGAGGCGACGGGCTCAGCGCGCATCGGAGGCGCGGGTGAGGGGAAGGGACGGCGCGCGGGAGTTCCCCACGGGTCGGGGCGCGCGGGGGCTCGCCCACGCCGGCTCTAGCCGCGCGTTCGTCGCGGGCCATGAAATTCGCCCCGGGGTTGCGACTGAACCAAGCTGAAGGACGGGCGGGCAACTTCCCGGTCCAGCTGGCAGTACGGAGGTTACACAACAGGACGCGCAGGGCACCTCCACCAAGTTTGCAAGTGCGCTCCCGCGCGGGGCAGCAGCAGATCAGCGCTGCACTGCGCGCCCGGGGCGCGGCGCGGCGGGGTCGAGTCCAAGTCGCTCGGCGGTTCCCAACGGCGAAAAGGCGCAGGCCAGCCACCTCCCGCACTGATCAACTTTGCCTGGCCATCTGCCTACTCCCTACCTTGCAAGCTCGGACCTTCGCCCCGGCCACCCGCCGCTTCTTCCGGCCGCGCTCTCAGCCCGCGCTCAGTCTCGGGAGGTCCTTTGGAGAGCGCGTGGCCGCGGACCCCGACGCTGCTAGCCTGCACCCCGCTTGTGGTCCATGAGGGCTGCAGCCTTTCCCGAGGCTCCTCTGGGTCTCGAGTGCAGGGGGCAGGAAAGAGAGCCAGGCTCCCAGCGGGGTGGGCGGAGCCAGAGAGCCCGGGCGAGTCCGCGCTCCGCGGGGAGGAGAGGGGCGTGTCTCCGCCGTGCAGGCTCGTGGCGGCGGACTCAGGGCTGGGCGTTGAGGGCGGGAGGTGGCCTCTGGAAGCAGGGTTCGCGGTGCCCCCGCACGCCTGGCACGGCCGCTGCCACTCGAATCAGTGATCAGAACAAAAGGTACGCTTTGGCAGGAATGGCTACTGGCGAGCGATTGGTCGGAGGGGTTTCCTCAAGACCTCCACCAACCAGCTCTGCAAAGTGAAGTTGCTGATACATTGGAAAGCTGGACGCTGGCAGCATTTTGCCTAAACTGTGAGCTGAGCGTTCTAGGCAGACATCTCCAGATCCTCTCGGAATTCGCAAGGTGTTTGCAGGCTCCAGACAGCCAGCAGTTTGCAGGTGGGCACGCCCTGGCCCTGCACAGCGCCTTGCTTTGCCCAGCGCGTGTAGGAACCTGCTGATTCCAGAGGGTGCCAGCTCTGAATGAGTGAGGGTGGTAAGCGGCATGGGCGAGTCGCGTTCTGCCCTTCGTGTCTGTTTTTTATTGTTGTTTTTTGTTGTTGTTAATCTCAACTGTTTTTTTTCCCCACCTACTTAGCAAAATGCTAATAAACCAGCCTCACTGGTAACATTATTTTATGAGAATGTCACCAAGAGCTTGATTCAACTGATGATAGCTAAGGCTACACATATCATCAGTACAACTTGTTAGATAACACTTGCTGGAAAAGATAAAGGTCATCAAACCTTCATTCACATTTAATTAAATAGCAGAGATTACAGTAAAAGTATTTCAACATCAAACTGAGTATTACAGCTTTATAGAGTTTCCTCTGGGAAGCGGTTAATGAATGGTTTGCCCTGGTTACCAATCCTATTTCTTAAAGTTCGTAGTTACACGTTCCTCTAGCAGATATCTAAAAAATGCAGCTAGCGACCAATGCAATTAGTCTATTTATGGCAGACCTTAGTGTAGACCTCTAAATGCATAAAAAATGTAGGTAATATAGTCCAAGATTTGTTTACCTTGAGTTGTAAACTAAATGGTTATTTTTTACTTGAAGACATAATTAAGCAGACTTTCCCAAGAATGGCACCAAGCCCTTTACGACAATTAACTGATTGATGTATTTTGTGTGCTGCATAACAAATACATTTCTCTTACAGAAAAAAATATAAGAATGAAATGTCTTCAAGTATACACTATATCTATTTCTTCCTAGTCCCATATATTCAATAACTGTGTTCCCTTAAAAAATACTAAGGAGGGGTTGGCGAAATGGCTTAGCCCCTAAAGGCATTAGTCACTTACCAGTGAGCCTGAGGACCTGGTCCCCCAACTTACGTGGTGGAAGGAAGAACTGCCTTTTGTCCTTTGACCTCCACACTCCTAGTCCACACTCGTGAACTGTGGCTCATGAGCATGCGTGCAAGTACACACAAACACTCACACACAGTGTAGAGGGGAAACAAACAAGAAACCTTAGAGGAAAATTGTGAAACCCCTTTCTCAGATATTGGAAAGAAAATTACTCTACCCTTCATATCCTTCAGGATGCATATCCTTCAGGGGAGCAGCATGGTGTACTCCATGGACAGAGTGAACACAGAGGCGCTGTGACCTCCAAAGCACGGTGATGATAACATTAGCACACGCCAAAGGGTAAAGGGGATGCAGTTCAGAAACAGCTGGGTTATCTTTTCTGTTACTTGCCGGTCTCCACATCATCTGATTCCACGAGTCTAAGCCTTAAGGAATGCTCTGCGATAGTTTGATGGACAGGATCCTAGCAGAGCTGCATCACCTACTATGAAGGAAAAGGAAGCAAGGAAAAACCACTAAGCATTTCCAGGGTACTCAGGAGGTCTTGACTCCTCACATTGTCCATTTGCAATCTAAGCAGTATCTAACCTCCCTCAGAAGTCTGTTGCAAATGCATTAGCTCATCATGTGAGTGTTTTGAAATCTACCTTTGGTCCAGAGAGGATTAAGTCCTTTCAGAAAACCTACTAGAGATTTAGGGAACCGGACTATATCATAGACATTTTAAAATTGGATTTTTTAAAAGAGTGATTGTTTTAAATGCTACTTTTACATCTATCATGTTTAACTATGTATTTGTACTAGGGTTAAGGTATATTAAAATTAACCGTAATAAGCTACAATCATTTGTTAGTAACCTTTTATCTGTAAAATACTGAACTAGATTCAATGAAGGAAAAATTAAGAGATCACCTAAGACAGACTATCCGTATTCATATTTGAATAAAGTTATATATACCTTAAAAGTATAAGAGAAATAAAAAAAATATGTCCCATATTGCCCCCAACATTTGCTGCCAGCGCTTGGATGCTATTTGGTAGTGAATTGGAGTTACAGTGTGTTGGGGCTCAGGGACGTCAAAATATTTGTCTTTTAACATGCCTAGCAGTCTGAACTAAAGAAGTCTAGGGGGCCACCTAGGCACGAGCTCTCTGGCCTCCTCTTCTGTCTGTAAATCTTCACATTGTCTCTTGAGGTGAAGCTCAGGAACCAGACTGTCTTGTGCTCTGGGTCCTTTGCTCCTCTGCTGGCCATAACACTGCCTCCAAGGAAGAAATGCTGCCCAAAAGTACCAACAAGAATCTAAAGAGACAGAGCTAGGTTTTCCTTTTCTATTTGCTGGCATTTTTTACCAAACCTAAGAATAAAAGTCGACAGCTTTCTTCCTGACTTTGTGTCTTCATTCTTCCAGGTTCCCACACCACGTAAACTTTGGTTACAGACAATTGCTATTTTCCTGTTACTGACCTGTGATATGTTTAAGTCTGTTCACCATAACCCTTAGGATGAGGGAAGGTTTCATACTGTCCCACCCTTGGAGATATAAATGACTAGTAATGTATTTAAAATGCCAAGAACACACAAAGCTTATCACAATATCATGTAACATCAGCAACAAAAGTTTTACGAATGACTCCCAGAACACTGATTTGGGGCAACAAAGGAATGAAGAAACGACAGGCACATACACAGACATACAGAGAAAAGCTGAGATCAGGTGGTCTGAGTTCTCGGATGGGGAAGGCACAGCACCCAGAAGCTTATCCATGTTTATTATAGAACCTTTGAAAAGCAAGGCAGGGTTACAGCCACAGCTGAACACAAGGCAGGAGGCAGGTTTAACTAATCTCAGTATGATCCGTCTTCAGGCCATGGACATCCCCAGGGAGAAAAGCTATGGTGGGCATTTCAGCACACTCTCAACCTTTGCACTCAACCCAGAGGAAGGCTGTGCCATCCCTCTGAGCCTCACCTTGGGTAGGCTTTGCAATGCCCATGGAGCTGGTCCATTGAGGTTCTTGACATGGCCATGCTCCTAGCAGCAATACACATTCACTCAGGGTTTCACTAGCTCCCCATAGACTTAGGATTTATAGTCAGCAATAGACACAATTAAAAAAAACATTGTCTATGGACTGGAGAGATGGCTCAGTGGTTAAGAACATGACCTGCTTTTCCAGAGGACCTGAGATCACTATCCAGCACTCACATGATGGTTACCACCATGTGTAACCCCAGTTTCTGGGGACCCAATGCCTTCTTCTGTCCTCAGTGAACACCAGGCACATGTGATTCACAGACATACATGTAGTTAAAACATGAACACAGATATTAATATAATATTATAAAGTGAAAAATGAAAGAACAAAAAATACAAAACTTTCTCTGTTTTTTTAGAATATCCCATTCTACTACTGGCAATAATGTTACTGAGGTAATTAATACAAATGATAAAATTACCTGATCAGAAAGGTTAGGGAATTTGCCCACTGTCAAGCACTAGAAACTGGGATTAAACTTGGCATACAAACTAGTGAGGGAGCTGAAAAAAGTGAGGGTCACTTCTTTGAAAGCAGAACTATTAGTGGCCAGTAAAGACTCAGTATTAAAAAAACAGCAATTCACAGAAGACTCCTCTCAAGAGAAATATTAAGCTAGTTCTCAAAGGTAGTGATAGCCACAGAGACTCTTAGAAGCTTCTCAAATGCACTCACTATGTCTTTACAGAGCTTCTTATAAAAAAATAGCCACAAAAAAATAGCCACCAATCCATATATAAATTGAAAATGATAGTTATTGAACTCAGATCTCTTTGCACTTAAACTCAAAAAGAAAAGATACTTGTGCTCAGATTCTCATTACCATCTTCAGAAAATCTAATTTTTTCTTGTTTAAAATAAGGATGAAAAGATCATTGAGAATAATTCCAGTGTATGTCCACAGGAAAGGAAAGAAAAAGAACATCCAATTAAAATAAATACGACGCCACAAACGCTAGAGCTTCGTTCGGTGTCAATATGAAAGGAGAGAAATCAACGGCTGGTACAGCTGTTCTAAGTTTTCAGGTAAGAGGAATGAAACCCTGATGAGTAGACAAGGAGATCCCGTAGAAGCTCCTAAGAATAAAAAAATGAGACAGGATGATTTCTGAAGAATACCTTAGGAAATGAGGAAAATGTTCCGTCTCAAATCAAAGTAACAGGGAAAATATAGGAAGCAAGAAATCTAAGCAGACTCTCAGAGATGTCCTCCAACCAAAGAAAAATAGGAGAAAGAGCTAAGGTGGGGATTTAAAATAAAGAGGACAACTGAAAGAATGAGTAGATTGTCACGTGTCAAGAGGGCCCAGCTGCTCCTACCAATTACACACTTGTCATGGATTCAATCAGGAGCCTTCCTGAAATTTATTTCATTAGAAATCACAGCAGGGGGAGAAATAGAGGAGACAGAAACTACAGCTCAAGGTTGGGATGGGGAGGAGAGAGCCCATGCAGAAGAGCAGCTCACTCACGCTAGGAGCTGTCAGTGGTGTCTCCCAAAACCGACCTTGAACTTTGCAGAAACGAATGGCAGCTCAGTTCTAACAATGCTTCCAGTGCTCAGTGTAGGACATTTATTTATTTATATTTGTTGTTGTTGTTGTTTTGGGATAAGTTTCCCCTATGAGTCCTGGACTTACCTGGGATTTTTAGCAATCCCCCTGCCTCAGCTTCCCAAGTGTTGAGACCACAAGTTGCGCCACTGTGCCTGGCTTAGTTACGATTTTCATGCAAGGACTAACAGCATAAACTAGCTCCAGATAGTCTTCCTTCAGCAAGCAAAACTTTCGACCGTCTTCTAGAAATGTGCCTGGTAATGAAGAAACCGTTCCATGGGTCAGCCTGTTAAACACAAATAATTCCAAATTGCCTGTTTCTAACAGCATAACGACATGAAGATTAAATAATAATCAACATAAAAATGATTAGTTTTGTTGGAAAAGAACCAAAATGGGAGGGAGGTAATGCTTCAGGTATAAAAATAAGCATTTGCTTCTTATGTTTTCAATGATAAATTGAGCTGAATCTCAGAATCTCAAGCTAGTTCTGCCTTCTGCCACCCTTCTCATTTCTGGATGGCTGATGGAGCAACTAGATATTTCTGTCTCTTGGGGACTACAACATGGTGATAGTTAGTGGGTAAGTGAAGTACTGTCTCACCTTGAGGTCCTGTATTGTTTCTGGACACAAGTGCAGATACAGATTAGCTGGTAGAGTCTTTTTGGTAATAGTGTGCCATGTGTAAACTAAGGGACTTCGCTTGCGTAACAAGGTCCTCTCGGTGTCCAAACTGCTCATCAAATCACTGCCGCTGTCAGTGAGTGACAAATGTTATGGGATGCTGTTTGACATTGCTTTGTTGAAGCTTCTCCTGTCTGAAACTAATAGATCTTAAGGGCTTAGGATTCTTGAATTGTGACATATATGTGCCATCCACTGTCCAGAACGAGGATCGTGTAATAACTCATTATTGAGCACAGGAGTCTAGAGAAGAAGACACCTGGGTTTAGAAGTCAGTTAAGGGCCATTAAAAGTTAAATAATAGCTATATTGTCAAATCAGTTCTATGTCGATGTTCATATAAAATAATTCCTCTATCACAAAATAGCTGTAAGATTGTGAAGTCGTTAGACTGTGCCTAGCACACAATATGTACAAAATAAACGACAGCTATTATATATATATATATTGTGGGTATGATTCTTATTTATTGTTATGCCCAGTCCATGAGGACCCCAAAAGACCACCAGGGAGACTGACTCACCAAAATGCAAAAGCAAGGTTTTTTGTGACACATTATAAGCTGGCAGAGACCTTGTCAAAGCAACTGATGAAGTAGCTGCAAGAGGAGGTACCCCGCCCTTCTAGAGGGCATTATTTAAAAGCAAAACCTAGAAAAGTTACATTAGCAAGGTGGGTGCTGGCAGGTGATCCTATCTACAACCATTGGAATGTTAGGAATTTCCTTTGGATGGCTGGTTCCAGGCTAGTACCTGAATAGTCTCAGGTTATGGTCTTTCTTGCAACCAGGTATTGCCTTAGGGAAAACTACCTAGGTTCAGGTCTCTACTGAGCTTGTCATGGCTGGGTCCTACATTTATAATGTGTTTTGATTTTTCTATCTTAATGGATAGATATTAACAAGATGCTTGCTCCTAAGAAGCAAAAACAGCTTTTACAAAGTGACTTTCTTCAAAGTGTGTACAAGTATTACAAGAAAGTAAGCATTAGAACCAGAGGCAGGCTTCTCTTCTTGCTGTCTCTGAGCCTTGGTGGAGAATCAAGTAACAGATTCTAAGATTGGAAACATGATCTTTTATCCTGGAAGGAGATACTGAGGCAGGGGATGGATTCTTCTAAAACTGTCCTCTCTTCAAAAAAATACCGTGTCCACACTTATGATTGGAATGGAAGAAAGGATGTTCAGACCGAAAGACTCTTGGGAAATTCAATTTGACAAATTCCCTCGGTGTCCTAGAGACAGAGAATTGCGCCTATGGGAGAAAACAATGCTCCTAGAAAGAGAAACCCACTGGCTGCCTTTGGCAGAGGGGTGAGTGAGCACTCATTACCAGTGAAGGCAGCCAGGTGGAGATCCTCAGGGAGAATGAAAGAACTGAGCCTCTATGATGCACTGCAGAGAGGAAGGCAGAATATACTGGCTTTTTTCCTGTTTTGTCTTTACTAGGGTTGAGAAGAGGCGGGGGGTGAGAGGAGAGAAGGAGGGAGATGAGAAAGATGAGGGAGAAATGAATTAGGAAAGAAGGGAGGAAGGCAGACTTTACTTGTATGATTGAAGAATGGAAGACATCCTTCCATCAAGGTAAGTTATGAGGTTCTGCTCTCAGCACAGAAATCAGCCTGGGGCCAAGTATGTGCTAGTGGGACCCTAATTACTAATTCAATTGGAAAGAACCCCAGGGATATATTTCCAGTAGTCCAAATCCCTGGAAATAAGGAGTTTGACATGAACTTTAGAGCAGCAGAGAAATTGAATTTGCTTTGGAGGATGAGTGCCTCAGGAGAAAGTAGAAAGCAAGGATGGAAAAACTTTGTGCTGATTGCATTAGCCAGGCGTAGTTAATGCTCTATGAATTCTGCTCAGGCATGGAAGCATGACCATAAGACAGACTGTGGTTTCCTTTAACACTGTGCCATGAGAGGTCAGCATCACCAATGAATATGGCTAACTCTCAGGGATTACATTTGAAATGCAGTTTGAAAGACAGCTACGGCAAGGAGAAGCTGAGCCTAGCCACCAGATTAGCAGCATTTAGAGACAAGCTGTTATTTTTATCAGCTCTGGGATTCCTAGAATTGTGTCACATGGCTGAACCACACCATTCTAAAGTACATACTCCAAGGACTTTAAGTCAACATGTAGCAGAGGTACTTACACATTGTATTCACAATAGTGAGCCAGCTTAAATTCCCACCATCACTAGGACCAACACCAGAAAGCATGACAATGGTTCAAGAGAATCATGTAAGACTGAAGAGTGTTACCATACTGGGATGTACTGCAGGACAGGAGTTGGACTGGGCTATCTGGAATTAACTGGAATATTCACAAGGAACCGTGAGTAGCAGACATGGAAGATTAAAATAAAAACTCACCGATGCTGTTGAAAGAAAAAGGACATTAAAGTCCTGATCATGAGTCTGAAGTCTCAGAAGAAAATGTAAAAGCCCACGAATGCGTAATGGAGAAAGGAAGGCATGCCAAGTGAGGGAAACATACGCTGTAGAAAGAGGGGTAAACGGTAAAGGGAGGTTTCTCTGTCCCGCCCCATCCTGCAGCTACTTCTAAATAATCACTCAGAGGCTTAATATTACTTACGCTTATTATTAACTAGCTCTTAGTTTAAACTAACCCATTTCTATTCATCTATGGTTTGCCATGTGTCTCGTGGCCTTACCCATGCTTTAATTCAACTTGCCTCTCCAACAACTGGCTGGAATCTCCCGACTCCTCTCTTCTTCTTCCCTGTATTTTCAGCTTGACTTACCCTCCTGGAATTATTCTGCCTTGTTATAGGCCAAAGCAGCTTCTTTGTTACATGGAAATAAAACATATTCAGAGCATACAGAAGGGTTATCCCACAGCAGTGAACTAATCAGTAAACTAATCTGGGAAAGAGAAAGAGAAGAAAATAAAAGCAATCAATTTTCAGAGCCATGTATATTTTTTAGGAGGAAGTCAATACATTTATGCACAAAAGGACTTCAGGCTGATATCTATGACAGTAACTACATAGAGAAGAGATGTTCTGTGTGTGTGGCAGAAGCCTTAAAACACAGAGATAAACGGTTTTGCTTAATTTCATGTTGTGAGTTTGGTGGTCATCATTAATTGTCAACCAGACAAAATCTAGAATTACCTGGATGATGAATTTCTTAATTAAGGATTAAGATAAGATTTTCTTAATTAAGTTAATTAATCTAGAAGAGCCATTCTGGATGTCGGTGACACTATTTCATGGCCTGGGCACAAGAGTGAATGGAGAAGAGGAACGTAACTGAGGATGAGTGCGTTAACCCATTGCTCTCTTCTCTTGACTGTGGATATAATGTGACCAGTTCTCTTTAGGGATTGCTGCTGTAACTTCCCTGCCACGATGGACTGTAGCTTGGGATTGTCAGCTAAATATAAATCCTTTTCCCATTCTTTGGGGATTATTTTTATCACAGCAATGGGAACAGCAACAACAGCAATGAGGATATAGGATTCCCTGGGTTGAAGGTATCACAGAGGCACAAAGTACTCCCAGGGCTTCTTTTCAATGGCATTGAATTAAGAAAGAAAGAAGCAGAGAGACGATTGCTTTTCTTTGTCTCTCTTTGCGTCAATTAGCCTCCAAAGGTGGAACAGTTTTTCTTGCAGCAGCTGTGTAAGCAACTTAGTGCTGTGTTCTGAAGCAACAGAAGAACATTATGCCATGTTTTGTGCTTTTAAAGACATCAAAACTTCATAGTGTAAAACTCTAATAAAAGTGGCTAAAGCCTGGTTTTTATGCTCAGAGGGA